ATTTATGAATGACAGAGGACTTAACTTGAGGATACTGTCTCATTTCAACAAATGATAGCGGTTTTGGAGCTGAGCTGGGAATGATGCTCTCCTTACGCAGGGATGGCTGAGACTTTCTGGTGTCCACCCTCTGTCCTCTTCCTCTGCCTAAGAGACTGGATGCTTCTGGCATGTGAGGGTCAAGTCAGCAGGAGTTCTCCTCTTCAGCTGTGTTTTGATCCCGTTCCTCAGTGCCACACTTGACCCACAGGCTTCCCAGGCAAAACAAAGGGATTAACCATGAACTTTTCTCCCTCTGATAGACGGCGATCAGCTTACCGGAAACCTGTGAGATCTGGTCAAAGACAACAGCGAGTAAGTTCAGCTTTGTTTGTCTTGCTTCGCATCCGTGGCTTGTTCAGTCGCAGGAGAATAATGACGGATTGAGCGTGAGCTTTTTGATTAATGCACAGAGGCATGACATGGATTTGAGTGGGAAAGACGTCATGTGTGCACAAGTGCATATCTGAGAGGTCTCAGCATGCATTTTTAATGAAGTATTTTACCCTAATGAACACAACGGGAGATGTGCACCCTAAAAAAAAGGTCTCTCTAAAAGATTTAACCTATTTACTGAGTTTTTTACCTACAAAAAGTGGCATTGTCATACGTTCTAAAAGACTAAATATTCACAATAATTTGGAAAATTCATTTCATCCAGCATGTTGCACTGAGATAACTTTCATGCACCTTTTACATATTTCTGTGCACACTCCTAATCTGTCACCAGCACACCCAGCCCTAACATATTCAGCTCCATCTCTAATTTTAAACTTCTGAAACGTTTGACGCTTTGTGAAAATCTCAACGTGCCATTGAATTTTCTACATTCTTGTGAAATGCGGCATTTTTTCTTCCAGGAATGCAATCAATATTTTTCCTAAACTGCATGGTCTCACATCCCTTCATCTCCTCCCTTTGATTAATTGGAAATGACAATACAGAGAGGGATTAAGCAGTGGAGCGTGATTTTAACGAGTCCCCCCCCCAGCCCCAAAGGATATTTGAGGTGTTACAATAAATGTTGAAAGGTTCTGGTTCTCTTAAATGAGAAAAAAAAAATCTGAAGTAGATGTCACAAAGCAGCAACGGCTTGAAAATAAAAACAGGCACCAGATTGAGTTAAACCAAAAATCTACTAACATTTTTGACTTGGAAGTTGTCTAGCAGAAAAATGGAGCCCACTCTTTTATATGGCTTGACTTTATTATGCATTTGAACGTTATCAGCTTGGAGTGGAAAATATGCTATTTGGGAACAAACAATCATTTAGAAATGAAAATGACTCTTATTTAAAATAGACTGCTCAAAAACACAAATGAGTTGAGCCATTATGGAGCATTAATGAAATGTCGGCGCTCAGAAGACTAAACTCCTGGAGGCTTTGTTGTTTTATTCCCTTCAGCAGATGCCAAATCCACTGTGGCATCTATAAGCGGATCATAATATTCATCTGATAATCTTATTCATCATTCTTCATCAGAGGTCTAATTTGAATTTGCTCAAATAAATCATTAAGCATAAAAAAAAAAATTGAAAACAAAAGCTTATTTTATATTTTTTCTTCTTTACTGACCGATTGAAGTGTGCATCACTCTGATTGTGTTTTTACAGTAATAGTTTTATGTTTTATTCTGTTAGCGCAGATACTTGCACAAATATATGGTGGACATTGTGTTGTGACCTAAAGAGTGTGCTAGAAAGGTTACCAGTGACATTGGAGCCTGCATGTGGGGCATCACACGGTGCTACAGGACAGTAGCAGTGATGGCCAGACGCCAAGGAATCTTCAGCAGAAATCAGCTTTCAGCACCCAGCATGGATCTGAGGACAGATTTGTGCTCCACAACCTGTCCTCGCTCACAGAATGGGCGCTGTTAACTATGCGATCGATGACCATTACTTATGTATACAGCACTAACCCAGAATATCAAAGGGAAATTTGATACTTCTGGATGTATAGGTAATGAAGGAGACTCGTGTGTTTTTTTAAACTGGGCCAATGAGATTTCTTTCCACTAATTTTAGTAACAGGTTCTCAACTCCATGCATTCATTTAAAAACATTTAAAGTACTCACTACTACGTCATAAAGTAAAAGTAAAATATATATATATATGTCAGAATCTTTTTCCTCATATCAGATAGATAAGACAAATATGTATATGCACAAGTTAAAAGGGAGTACTACATTCATATGATGTGTTGATTAAAGTGTGCAGACAAAGGGGCTTTGTTTACATTGAGCGCATACCTGCATTTCATATTTCTCTATTGGTACATTTGGAAATTTACTGGAATGAACCCTTTCAAATCACCAATTGTTATAGTTCAGGATAACCTTTGTATGTTTAGTCCATACTTTACTTGTCCCAGATCTCTGTGAATTCCAGCTCTAGCCTGTAATTTAGTAAATGATGCCATATCAGGAGCCATTAATATTACTCTATTCTTTTAAACTTTAGTCCTTGAAACATTGTTGCTTTATTATGGCTTGCTGCCATGAAAGGTGGATGATAAAGTACTGTACTTGTTTGTGTCTCTCTGTGTGTGTTTCTTTGTCTTTTTTGCCTGATTGCAAAATATTGTACGAAACGTTAAAATGAGCCAAAGAACCTTTCAGAACCGTCAACTTGATTCAACATGGCTGCTCCAACTATAATGCCCCAGCCAACACAAAAATAGTTATAGCTCTGTCAATAATATATATATTAAACCAAAATACAATGTGGTAGTACCCAGGAGGCATCTTCACATATATATTTCAAGCTCTAGCAGGTCACATGAGATCTATGTTTAAAAGTTTCAAGTGCAGTAACGCACGTTTCTTTAAGAAATATCAGTTTAACTTACAGCATTTTCAGATTTAAAATGCTAAAACCATGGTTCAAGTTTTCATCAAGGCTGAATTTTAAAGTTAAATGTTAAAATTCACCAAGTAAACAAGTTCTGATCTCCCAGCTTCATCTGAAGTACATTTTCTTTGCGGCAACAAACAGTGACACATCACTCGTGTGAAGTTATTTTGAGAGACCTGCTATGATTTTGTACCTCAGAGATGATTCAACTATCTGCTCTCTGAAGCTGTCATGATAGACAATTTCCTCCTGCAGAGTTTTGATTAAAACGCTCCAACGAGGCAGAGCTGTTTACTGAGAAAATGACTGGGGTCAGAAAGAATGTGAATATTTGTTTGTTTCTAAGCTGTGTTTGAGAGCCAATTTCCTCTGCATTGTGCTATTTGTTGATTTGTGAGGAGATAATGTGTGACACTATCTCTGGCTACATGTGTGTCAGTGCACTGGGTGAAAATTCAATTGCTAATACCTGCATGGAGGATTTATTTTCTGGACGGGTGACACTGAGATCATAGTTCCTCAATGAGAGCCTCAGAAAGTATGATCCACCCTGGTGGAGCCACTGCTACATTGGTTATTGTTCAGTCATTTTGATGTTTGAAAAGTCATCCACAGAATGGAGCTAGTTTAACAACAGCAGT